ACAGGGAGGTGATGGTGTGGGGGTGATGGTAATGTGAGAGGGGTGATGGTAATGTGAGAGGGGTGAAGCAGGCCCGGACTGGCCATCGGGCATACCGGGCAAATGCCCGGTGGGCCGCGATGGCCGTGGGGCCGAGGCCGGCAGGGGAGATCCTGTCGGCCGGCTCCTGCAGGGCCAGCGCTACCCGAGCGCCGGCCCCGCTGTGGGCCTCCATGGGCCGGTGGGGAGATCAAAGATCTCCCTTTACCGGCCCAGAGACACTTCCAGGCGGCCGCTTGCTGGGGTGTGAGGGAGGGAGGAGAGGACCGGCGGAGCTCTATCCAGCAGCTCCGCCGGGTCCTCTCGCGGGATTCTGAGCGTTGCCGCGGTTACCGCGGCAACGCTCAGATCTCGCGAGAGTGAACTCTAGCCTACAGGCTAGAGTTCACGCTCACCACTAGGACCACCAGGGATCAGGCAGCATGGCTCTCCCATGGCAGAACGGCTCCCCCCCGTCCCAGGCAAAACGGCCCCCCCCTCCCAGGCTAAAGGTAAGAAGGGAGGGGGGGGATATAACTTTTTTTTAAAATTATTATTATTAATTAAAAAAAATTTTAAATTTAAAAAAAATCACACTCACACACATCACCCCCAGACACACACACAGCACCCAGACACACACACAGCACCCCCAGACACACAGCACCCAGACACACACAGCACCCCCAGACACACACAGTACCCAGACACACACAGCACCCCCAGACACACACACAGCACCCAGACACACACACAGCACCCCCAGACACACACATCACCCCCAGACATACACATCACCCCCAGACATACACAGCACCCAGACACACACAGCACCCCCAGACACACACAGCACCCAGACACACACAGCACCCCCAGACACACACAGTACCCAGACACACACATCACCCCCAGACACACACACACCCCAGACACACACTGCACCCAGACACACACACAGCACCCCCAGACACACAGCACCCAGACTCACACAGCACCCCAGACACACACAGCACCCCCCCAGACACAGCACCACCCAGACACACACAGCACCACCCAGACACACACAGCACCACCCAGACACACACTGCGCCCCCAGACACACACAGCACCCCAGACACAGCACCCCCAGACATACACAGCACCCCCAGACACACAGCACCCCAGAGACACACACAGCACCCCAGACACACAGCACCCCCAGACACACAGCACCCAGAGACACACAGCACCCCCAGAGACACACAGCACCCCCAGACACACACAGCACCCCCAGACACACACAGCGCACCCAGACACACACAGCGCACTCAGGCACACAGCACCCTCACTCACACACAGCACCCTCGCTCACACACACAAACACACATATATATATATATATATATATATATATTTACAGATATATATATATATATAATATATAAAATAACCCTCAGTGAGTTAACAGACAAAGAAAATTAGAAACCTAGAATGTGACGGCAGATAAAAACACCCTCACACACAGCACCCCTCTTACATACACACACTGCGCCCCTCACACATACAATAAGTCCAAATATATATATATATATATATATATATACACACACACACACTACAGCACTACATACATTACGCTCCAGATACACGCTAGATCCCTTACCTTATATGCACTCTTAATCCTCTATACACACACACACACACACACACACACACAATCTCCTATACACACTCTGGGTCCTTTACACACTAGATCTCCTACACACACACTGCACCACCTACACACACACTACATTCCTTGTCAGCAAACACATACAACATTCTCTAAACACACCCTCTCTACAACCCCTACACACACTACATCACCTTTACACACACACTACATTCTTGTCAGCAAACACATACAACTTTCTCTAAACACACCCTCTCTACAACCCCTACACACACTACATCATCTTTACACACACACTACAGCCCGTATGCACACACTCGCTACATCCCCTATAACACTATGCCACCTATACACACACTCTCTACAGCCCCTAGCCACACATATTACACCACAAACACATATGAAATTGACCTATTTACACAATACCACACCACACTCTACACACACGCAATCCCACAAGCAGGCTCCAAACACATGCACCATACACTTTCCTGGCCCTTTTGTCCTCTGGTATCCCACTTGTTGAGACACCAGAGACAATTTAAAAGCAAACACAGCGCAAGCATGTTATTAAATTTGCTTGCGCTGCGCAGAACAAATTCAGGGCCTTTTTCTAATGCTAGAGCTCTTCAGCAGGGCTCTGTGCATTGAACCAACATGCTCACTTTGAGAGGGGGCGTGCTTGTCATTAGTGATGACAAAACACACCCTCTCTGGCCCCGCCCCCTTCTTAGGGGGCCGCTCTGATTGAAAAATGCCTGGGCCTAATTTTTTCCCCAGTCCGGCCCTGGGTGAAGGTAATGTGAGAGGGGTGATGGTAATGTGAGAATGGGGGGGATAATGTGAGAAGGAAGAGGGGGGGTAATGTGAGAAGGAGGAGGGGTAATGTGAGAAGGAGGTGGGGTAATGTGAGAAGGAGGGGGGTAATGTGAGAAGGAGGAGGGGGGTAATGTGAGAAGGAGGAGGGGAGGGTAATTTGTAATTGGTGGGGGGTAGTGAGGCTGAGGGTGGTGTGGGTGGTGTGGGGGGTAGTGAGGCTGAGGGTGGTGAGGGGTGAGGCTGAGGGTGGTGTGGGTGGTGTGGGGGGTAGTGAGGCTGAGGGTGGTGAGAGAGCCTACCTGTCCTCCCTGGTGGTCCAGTGGGCTCCCTGGTGGTCCGGTGGCCCTTGCTTCCGGTCTGCAGCTCCGCAGAGCTGCAGACCATGTAATCTCGAGAGATGTCAGAGCATTGCCGTGGTAACCCGCGGCAACGCTCTGATTGGCCAGTTTTCGCGAGACACATGGTCTGCAGCTCTGCTCACTGCGGAGCTGCAGACCAGTGTCTGCGGTGGCTGGCCGGGCAGCCAGGAGGGGCCTCGCATACCGGGCAAGCCTCCGGGCCCCCTCCTGATGTCAGGTCCTCGGTCAGTGACCGAGGACCTGACACAATCTGTCCACAGGCGGTTTAGGCGGCCGCGAGGCCCCAGCCAGCGCGAAGCCTTAGGCGGCCGCCTAAATGGCCTAATTAGAGAGCCGCCTCTGATTGTGTGTGTAATGGATGCATTGTGTGTTTCTTTGTGTGTAAGGGAAGCATGTTGTGTTTCTGTGTGTGTAGGGATGCATTGTGTGTTTCTGTGTATGTATAGGGATACATTGTGTGTGCGTGTGCACGTAGTGTGAAAGAGCTCCTTGTCTTGCCCCCTGTCCTATAGAGCTGTCCGTTCTGTCCTTTAGAGCTCTCCCTCACCCTCCCCTAGCGGTCTCTTCTCATACTCACCCACCCTCCCTGTGCTCTTCTCATCCCCCCCACCCTCCCTGTGTTCTTCTCACTCCCCCCCAATGTGTTCTCCTAACCCCCAGTGTTCTTCTCACCTCCCCCTACCTGTGTTCTCCTCATATCCCCTTCTCCTCCCCCAGTGTTCTTCTCACCTCCCCCTCCTGTGTTCTCTCATACCCCTTCTCCTCTCCCTCCCTGGGTTCTCCTCACCACCCACCCTCCCCTGTGTTCTTTCTCAGTCGTCCCCTGTTCTCCTCCATTCTCCCTTCTCACCCTTACTTCTCACCCCTCCTCCTGTGATCTTACTCCCCCCCTTGTTCTTCTTACTTCTTCTTCTTACTCCCCTTCTTCTTACCCCTCTCTACGCACCCTTGTTCTTAAACTCCCCTTCTTCTTCTTACCCCACTTCTTCTTAGCCCTCTTCTTCTACTACTCCCCTTCTTTCTTTCTACTCCCTTGTTCTTCTTACTCCCCTTCTTCTTACTCCCCTTCTTCTTACCCTCTTCTTCTTACCCCCTTCTTCTTCTTACCCCCTTTTATTCTACCCCACCCCTTCTTCTTACCCTTCTTCTTATTACCCACCTCTTCTTCTTACCCCCTTCTTCTTACCCTCCTTCTTCTTACACCCCTTCTTCTTACCTTCTTCTTACCCCATACCTTCTTCTTACCCCCTCTTCTTCTTACCCCCCCTCTTCTTACCCCTCCCCTGCTTCTTACTCCCCTTTCCTGTAGCGTGGCCGAGCTCCTCTCTTGTCCGCGGTCCCCGGCCAGAGTGATAGGAAGGTGTACACTCAGGCGGCTGCAGCATTAGGACCGACCCTGCAGCGGCCCTGCCCCCTGGCCCAGCCCGCCCCTGGCAGTGATCATATTGGTAGCGCTGCATGTTGTATACACATATTGAATATACATATTAAATCCGCAGTGATCCTATTGGTAGCGGTATATTGTTCAAGCATTGAATAAGTCTCATTATTCTGGAGAATACATTTTACCTGCATCCATTGGAATGTTTACATGTAAAAAGGATTATTCTTGGGAGACCTTATTATAGGCATTGCCTATGATTCTTATTGTACATTCTGTCATTATGCTGCGTTCACCATTTTGGTCGGCGTTCTCCTTATAGGCTCTGGTCGCGTTCGTTAGTTTTAGATAAAATGCGTTTGTATAAATTTTCCATTTGTATGAATTTTCTTGAGTTAATACTGGCTGTTGCCATTTGTCAAAGGTTTTGATTGACTTATTCTTTCGGCACAATTTTCGGCTGTCTGGGCATGCGCATTGAATGAATGTCTGTGTGTGGTCCTGTCTCATAAGGTTTTTTCTATTTAAAGAGACAGTTCATTTCTTCTTTCCTTTCCTTTGGATGCCAAAGCTGGAATTCTTCAGAATATTTTCTCATACAATTATTTCTGTTAGTGTAGGTAAGAATATTTATTTTCTTTACCCGTTATATTCCAAAAAATGTTGGTTCTTCAAAAAAACATTTTTGTTCCCCTTTCTCTTTTTTGACTAGCTTCCCTTATGTCAGCATCTAGATCTTCAAGGGGGTCTCCTTCTAGGCATTCAAGGTAAAATTCATTCTTATCTTGTTTGGCATTTAAAAGAATGCATTTATTTGACAACTTCAAGTCCTCCTCTTTTCATTTGTTTTTAGTGTCCATGATCTTGACACGTCTGAGAGATCAAGTGGAGGAAAGAAATTTCACAAATCTGCCCGTTGTATCGCATGTGATGCTAAGGCTTTGGAAGGAAATAAATTATGTGGTACCTGCTTGTCGGAAGCAGCTGGTTCTCCTAAGGATCAGGGCCGGACTGGCCCACCGGGATACTGGGAAATTTCCTGGTGGGCCGCGGCATTTGTTGGCTGCGCTGAGCATGTATGTGCCACCGGGTGGCCGGTCTCTGTCACTAATGTTGAGGATGTGCTGGGGATTGTGGGAACCGCGAAGGAGCATGGTAGAGAGACATGCTCCTCCCTCCTCCTTCAGTGCTCACTCCTCAGCATTAGTGATAGGAGTGCCGCCGGACCGGCGAGGCTGCCACCCGGCCTGGCGGCTCCAGCGTGGAATGCAGCCGGCCCCCCTGACTCCTCTCAGGTAAATGAGAGGGGGAAGACGGGAATAAAGATACTCAAGGGGAGGGGGGAAATAAAACAGAGGGAGAATAGACACAGGGAAAAGAGGGAAAAAGAGACAGAGGGGAGAAAGAGGGGGAATAGAGAGATGGTGGAGGGAGGAAAAAGAGACAGAGGGGAAGAGAGATGTGGGGAATAGACAGGGAAAGGGGGGAGAAAGAGACAGAGGGGAAGAGAGAGACAGAGGGAGAAAGGAGAGAGACACACAAGGGGAGGGGGAGAAAGAGGCAGAGGGGGAAAGGAGAGAGACACACAAGGGGAGGGGGAGAAAGAGGCAGAGGGGGGAGAGAGAGACTGGAAAGGAGAGGGGAGACATGGCCACAGAGAAGCAGTGAGGGGGAGAAAGAAACATACAGAGTGACTGGGGGGAGACAAAAAGGCACAGAGAGGGGCTGGAGATAAAGAGACACACATAGGTGCTGTATATATCACTGGTGGATCAGGGGGGGCAATAGGACAATCCCCCCCACGAGGCTCTCCCATGCCAGCTGATCTCCCTCCCCATTCCACAGGCACCGTGCGGCACACACTGCCCCCCATACACACACTGCCCCCACACACACCATACACATTCACACATTGCCCCCCATACACACATTGCCCCATACACATACACAGCCCCCCACACACACATTGCTGCACACACACTGCGTCCCTCACACATTGCACCACTGCTCCTATACCCTACTACAACCCCATATCCCAGCAGACCCCAGGTAAGTTGTCAAACTGTTCTTAAACGGTTTGATACTTACTCTGGGAGGGGGTCCCGGCACTCCTTGAACCATAACCACTACACAAAGCAGTAGTCGTTATTGTGCATGGATTATTTCTTTAAATAATCTACACGTGCCCCACCCGGGATCAGGCTCTGGATCCACCACTGGTATATGACATGTATATCAATGTGTATTAGTTTTATATATATATATATATATATCGGTATTAAGGCCTTTTGGCCTGTAATTGTGGGAGGGGCGTATGACACACCCTTCCCTACTTAAGGGACACCCCTTACCTGGCTCCATACCCTTCGAGGTCAGCGCTGCATGAGGATCCACTTCCGGTTCTTGTACGGCGCCATCTTGATTTTTCAGAAACCCACGATTTTCTTCACGTGCAGCTGTGTCCAGGAATCCTCTTGAAGGTCTCTTCCGCCCGTCCAGCTCCTCGTGACTCCGGTGCTTTACGGCAAGGTCACAAATCAACGTTGTTTCCCATTTCGATTAAACTTTCGTGCCATAATCCTTTCGGTATGTTTCTACCGTATGGTACTCATGTTTCCTAACACCATTTCGTTTCATTTCGTTTTCATTTTATTTTACCGTAAGCACTCATTCATGCTGCCTTCCGTTCGGTTAATTCATTCTGTATTCAATATCTTTCGTCTAGGTCGGTCAAGCTTTTGGCGAATGACACTGTTCTTTCTTTTCATTCTAATTATGCTTTCGGCAGTTTTGCTCAGTTATGCACGCATTTGTTTCACATCTTGCATACGGCAAACTCTGTTTCTGTTTTTATATTAAACCAAATTCGGTTCATCTACCTTTTCTATGTACTGTTATAAATTTGTTTAAATCAGTTATACTTTCATATACTTATTCATACCATACTAGGTTTCTATCTTGATTAACATTTTCTCATGTATACTGGTTTAGATTATAGTTATTTTTAAAGTTACTAAATTATAGATATTTCATGTATATTACAGTAATGGTTTAGCCTGCGATTATGGCTTACTTCTAAAAGTTTTTATGGAGATCATGCTTTTATTACAACCATGTACATCATGATTACATGGCACTTACAATTTTCAGACCATTTCTTGGAATACTCAGACAACATACCACGAGTATACAAGAACATGGTCCTATCTTTCACAAGACTTTCGGGTTGAATCACACGCTTTGGTTCAACCATTCATACGTCACGTTACAACATCTTTTTTATGTTTCTGCATATTGTCACTTCACATAATTTTTCAACCTCATCCACATCATTCCATTTTAGTTTATGCCACGGCACATATATATTCAATACATGATCATTCCACCCCTCCCTGCACCATTGAATACTCAAACCCTAGCATTTCCCAGATCAGTTAGTGACATGCATATCATCTGGTCACCCTCTGTAGACACACAATACACGGCCAAGCCCCTGCTACCCGGTTCAGACTCAGCTTTACGCCTAGCATACTCATAGACTTTTTCACCTCCCGCACATACTGGTAGAAGCCCAAACCCCAGCCTGTACAGACTACACAGGTCTCACAGGATCCATTCTCACTCTATCACATTTTTGTTTCTACCCATTTAGGTTTATCCAGGTTTGTTATACCTGTCGAAATCTCAAAAACTTTATACATACTACCAGGTATGTAAGCCTGCTCACGTTGTAGTTCACATACGTTTCATTTTCCCTAGGCCATAGAGTACTGGCAAGTTAGGGGTATAGGCCCAAATAGGTATCTCCCTTATTGGCATTCTGCCTATCGTTTAGTGGTCCACGAGGCCAACACCCCGCCTCAACGTTTCGGAGGCAAACGCCCATCGGGCCACATGTGAGTTAGCTGCCTCGCAATATTATAGAGAGGGCCTCACCTGTCACTCCCTCCCACTGTTTTCTTTTACTATGACCGAGAGGCCTACGATTCCTGCCACTACGACGGGTGGCCTCAATATCCCCTCGCGCCAACGCATAGACAGAGCCTCTCATATCCACTTGGCAACTAGCAGGGCCTCACCTGTCACCAAACAAGATAAATTTTTCGCCTTTCCGGCCTAGTTAGCCTGCCAGTACCACCCCTGGGTTTCCATACACTAACCAAATATTTTGTCATTTAGTATGTCTCAAGAAGGGGTAGAGGATTTCTCCCTACCGGGCACTCCGGCTAGAGCAAACATCCCATCACAGGGAGGAGAGGTGGCAAGTCCAGCATCTTTCAGGTCATGGACAATCCCTCGCATAACCAATGAACTCAGGAGACGGCAAATCCCATTCCCCGCAACAGCAAGGAAAGCGGAACTCTACAAGTTACTGCACACCTCTACCGATAACATTGATGCCGGGGTAGGGACTAGACAGTCTTACCCGGGAGATATACACGGCATGCTCTCATCCCTCATGGCGTCCATGAGCAAGGTCAATTCCAGGCTGGAGAAACTCGAATCGGTCACTACAGCCCTTACCATGCCTGGGCCGGCCGCTGCGACCCCTCCAGCACTGGTCGAGTTGCAATCAGTTTCTCCAGCCACCACCTCTGATGATCAAGAGGTTAACCCTGCCCATATGATACCTGAGCACCTCAAAAAAGATATCCTGGAAGGTAAAGATATCAACTTGGCTTCATTGCTGATTGCCTCCCAGGATGTGGTGGAACAGAAGACTTATGCTTATGATGATATTTCTGTGTTGGTCAAATCTAGGGATGCCCTTTTAAACAGGAAACTGTCTATCCCTGAATTTGTGTTGGCATTTGGCATTTATCGTGATGTTATCTGTGCAGTATATCCCCACAGACGTGAGGAGTTTGATTTGTATATGCACAAGCTGGTGGACCTGGGCAACAAATATGGTGGGTCAGCTTTCTATGATTACCATAGATCCTTTTCTGCCAAGGTGTCTGGCGCTTTCTCCCAGTACGGGACAAGGTCCAACTGGAGCAACATTGATACGGTCATTTTCTGCAGACACTTTGCAGGTCTAAGAACTCCGGCTTGTGCATACTGCTCCTCCATGGCTCATACGGCTAACTTCTGTCCAACCACTGCGAACGAACCTACCCCCTCGCAGGGCACTAGTTCCACTGGTTCTGCAGAAAAAACACCCAAAGACAAACTGGGACCACCTATCAAGTTTCTGGGCAAGTCCCAGATATGTAATAATTTTAATGTCGGATCATGTAATTACAGTGGATGTCGGCTATTGCATATATGTTTAAAATGTTTCAGGGCACATGCTAAAACCATGTGTCCTAATAAAATGTATCCTAAACAATACTTAACGTCTATAAACATTTCTGTACTTACGACATTACTGTCACATCATCCATCTAGACATTTGGTAGAATTCATTATCTCGGGTCTATCAGAAGGATTCCACACAGGTCTCATACACATGCCTTCCGGAATCCTGGAATGTCCTAATTTACAATCCGCACAGCAAAATCCTACAGCGGTTGACACACTCATAGCCAAGGAAGTGGCAGAGGGCTTCCTATTGGGGCCCTCCAGTCCCCTCCTTTCACCACATGGCGGACAAACCCCATCGGTATTGTCACGGTGAAATGTTCCCACAAACAGAGACTTATCATCGATCTATCGGCACCACACACCTCTGCCACTCCTAGTCTGAACTCCCTCATACCCTCTGAGGAATTTTCACTTCAATATTCCACCATAGATCACGCCATTACGGCTATCATGCAGGCAGGGGTCGGAGCATGGCTCAGTAAGACCGATATAACAAATGCTTTCAAGTTACTGCCTATCCACCCTACACTGTGGCACCTACATGGCATCAAGTGGGCCGGGAACTACTACTTTTTCTCATGTTTAACTTTTGGTTCCAAAAGTAGTCCAGCCATTTTCGACGTATTTGCCGAAACCCTATGCTGGTTATTATTAAATATAGCCAGATGCCCTACAGTTATACATTAT